TCACCTCAGCCTCCCAAAGGCGCAGGATTACAGGCTGAGCCACCGAGCCCGGCTCACACCTCCTATTTCTAATGGAGCCAGCACCTTGCTATTCAGTGCATTTCCCTGGACCTGCAGCCTGAGCCTCACCTGGGAGTTTGCTAGAAAACAACATCTCAGAATATGCATTGAGCAAGATACCAGGTGATTCATATGCACATGATATCTTAAGGATCCCTGACCTAGACGTCATTCTCACCTACCACATAGCTCCCACTTCCCAAAAATAATTTTTGTGTAAGTGACTTGGAGCGTGTTGAGCTGAGTTCAAAGAAGCATCTGGGAAGGGTATGGTTTCAGCCACCATTGCTCAGCAGCCGCCGCCACACAGCCCGCTCAGCATCTCTCTAGAAAGGTGTAAACATCCATGCGTAGCCTGGACTGGCGTTCCTGGTTATGGTGTCCTCTATCTGCCTGCTTCTCTTTCCAGGAATGTCTGACTTCCAGTACCTGGCCGTGCACACAGAGGCGGATGGCAGGCACACGTCGATGTATGACAAAGTGCTCATGCTGCGACCCGAGAAGGAGGCCTTCTTCCACCAGGAGCTGCCGCTCTACATCCCCCCTCCCATCTTCTCCCGGCTGGATGCCCCAGTGGACTACTTCTACCGACCAGAGACGCAGCACCGGTAAGACTCCCTTCATGCTGTGGGGGCAGGGTCAGAGCTGGGCCTGCTACTCCCGGGTCTGGTGGCCTTAGACACACCACTTAGCCTCTCAGCCTTGGTTTTGTCCTGAAATTGGGATGATGGTAGTGCCTGCACAACAGAGGCATTAGGGTTAAATGTTAAAAGCACATGCAGCTCTCAGCACAGGGCTGAGTGCAGAACAAGACCCTAGTCAGTGGGGGCCTATGTGGTCACCAGATCGGCTTCATTCCTGGGGACTCTCAGATGCAGAGAACTTGGCCATGGGATTCCTTGAGGATTCCTGCTGAAACTGTCTTCTTTGGTTCAATCCCCTTGCCGTTGCTGACCAGCCACTCTCTGGACCTTGCTGTCACCAGTAATGACACTGCCTGAGAAAGGTGCCTGTGGATGTCTCACTCTGACCCCAGTCCTGTTTCCACCTCTTCCATCCCCTCACTGTCCCTCTCCCTGGCAGAGGTTTCGTGGTCATCTTCAGAATCCATCCTTCCTCTGTCTTTCTCCCTTTGCCACACTCACCTGCAAACCTTCAGCCCTAGTCCACCCCAGCCGTCTGCCATCTCCTGGTCTGCCCCGTGCAGCTGGAGGTCACTTCAGAGAGCCACCCAACCTGTCTCCTGGTGCCATCTCCCTCTCTACACAGATCTTGCCTCTTGTGTACTTGGTGATGGTCTGTGTCCTCTCTACTGGTACCTCTACTGAGGATGGGCACTTGGTATCTCTTGAATGTATAGTGGGTTTCTTCTACACGAAGGCACTAAGGGTTAAGAAAAGCCAGGTAGACGTGACTCACAGCCAGTCCCCACCCCACCCACCTCCCGTGCGCACGTCCCTACCAAGACCACATGCAATTCAAATTAAATGAATTATTTCATTTAGATGCTCTTGACATAATTAGAGACTCCAGGGGTTGTTGGACAGGCAGGCCTGGGCATTGTTCAATGTTGGTTTTACCCCGGAGACCAGCCACACATTGGCTTGAAGGAATGGGATTTCCTTTATATAAAAGCCAAGGCTTAGCCGGGCTCGGTGGCTCAGCCTGTAATCCCGTGCCTTTGGGAGGCTGAGGTGAGTGGATTGCCTGAGCCCACGGGTTCGAGACCCGCCTGGGCAGGCGAGACCTCATCTCTACAATAAATCAAAAAATTAACCGGGCGTGGTAGCGCGCACCTGTAATTCTGGGTACTTGGAAGGCTGAGGAGGAAGGATCGCCGGAGCCCAGCAGGTCGAGGCTGCGGTGGCCGGGAGCGGCCACTGCACTCCAGTCTGGGCGACAGAGTGAGACTCCAACTCAAAAAAAAAAGAAAAAAAAGCCAAGGCTGAATAGTATTAAAAAAGGAAAAGGATGAAAATACCCGACTTAAGATTGCTAATGCTCACCAGTGCCACTGCCAATTATCCCATGTCCCCTGAGGAATGGTGCTGTGTGTGCATCTCACCCAGCCTGGTGGTAATCCTCCAGTGTTCCAGTCATCTACATGGCATACATGAGGGAGCGGAGACTCAGGGTCGGTGCTAGGTCTCTGGGCCTTCCCACTCAGTAGGCTTGCTCATTGCTCAGTGCTACACTGTGCTTATTTTTTGTGTGCTTTACTTAAAATTGCACACAAAAAGATAAAAAATTTTTAAAATTTCTTCTTTTAATGTAAGCTCCCCAAAGGTAGTGATCTGCGTTCTCTTGGTCTCTGTTGTAACCCTGGCACCCAGAGCAGAGTCTGGCCTATGAGAGACACTCAGCAATGATTTGGAGGCCCAGTGAACGAAGATCTGGAGAGCAAGGTTAGGACAAACAGGTCAACAAAAGGAAAAAGACTGCAGAACGGCCCCTAGGTGGTGATGTTGGTTGAAGAATTCTTCTGTATCATGCTTTAAGCTTGTAAAACCACAGCCTTCAAGAGGTCTCTGTGGACTGATGTGGCCCATGGCCAGGTGCTTCCTTGCTCTGTGAGAAAGGCACATGTGAGACCAGACTCTGGAATAAAAATAAATTGTGGCATGACAGTAGAAGCCTAGAAAAGCCTGGAAGATTGAGCTTAGGACAGTTTTCTCTGAAGGAGTGGGAAAACTTTCTCATTCCTCATTAAATATTTGTTTTAACAAAAAATATTTTGACTGATATGAAATATTTTGACTGTTATGGCCAGGGCACTCCCCAGAGTCTGGAGCCAATCCTAACTCCTAACCCTAACCCTAACCTAGTGTCCATGGACAACACACCAAATGAGGCACCCTTCAGCAGCCAGGGAACTGGACGGAACACTAGTACATGATGGATGCCTTAAAGGAGATTATGGGGAGTGGGTTATACTGGACAGTGGGTGGACTGGAACCAAGGGTGGCAGGGAGGACCCTCGGAGGAGCTAACATCTGAAATGGAGACCTGAATGAGAACAGAGCTGGGCAGGTGACGATCTGGTGAGAGCACTCCAGATCATAGGACTTTTCCACGCAAAAGGAAAGGGAATCTGGTGCTCCTGGAGCCAAGTGAGCCAGGAAGAGCAGTAGGGGTGAGATCAGGACTTAGGTGTATTGTTGTCTGCCTTTAAAAATAAATTATGGGCTGGGCTCGGTGGCTCAGCCTGTAATCCCAGCACTTTGGGAGGCTGAGGTGAGTGGATTGCCTGAGCCCGCGGGTTCGAGACTCTGGGCAACTTGACGAGACCTCATCTCTACAATAAATCAAAAATTAGCCGGGCGTGGTAGCATGCTCCTGTAGTTCCAGCTACTTGGAAGGCTGAGGTGGAAGGATCACTGGAGCCCAGCAGGGCGAGGCTGCGGTAGCCGGGAGCGGCCACTGCACTCCAGTCTGGGCGACAGAGTAAGACTCCAACTCAAAATAAATAAATAAATAAAAATTTAAAAATAAAAAGAAAAATATATTATGGAAGTAAAGAAAATCGAATAGAAAAAAACAGAAACACACACACACAAATACATTATGGAAATGTTTGAACATACCTCAAAGTAGAGAGTATTGAATTGTCTGGTGCTTCCCCCCACCTGTTCCCATCGCTTTAACAGTGAATGACATTCTGCCATGCTGCTTTCCTCTCCCCCGCCCCACCTCCGAGGCATAGCGGTGCTTCCAGAAACAAGCAGTCGTGTCTCTAACATGGCAAGACTCGTGTTGCCACCATCCCTGCCATTCTAGGATCACACCCAACAGAATTAACAGTACTCCTTACTGTCACCCCGTGCCCAGTCCTTGTTCAGTTTTTCCTGATTGTCTCAAAAGTCACTCAGGAGCCAAACAAGGACTACACACTTTGCTCTTGGTAGACGTCTCCCAGCTAAGTGTCATCTGTGACATCCCTACCACTACCACCACCTATCCTTTTTTTCTGATGTAACAATATAAGTTGTACTTATTAGAAAAAACATTGCTGGGCAACCCCTTCGGGTCCCCTCCTGCTCTGAAAGCTTTTCTGTCTTCTCTATAAAGCCTGCTTTAAAAAAGAAAAAAAAGAAAAAACATTACTGAAATATATAGCTAAAAAGAGTCAAGTCACATAGTCACATCACCTCCCTGCTGGAAACCCTTGCATGTAGAATGAGACTTTTCAGTATGTATATTATTATATTGTATTCAATATAGGATTTTATTTATTTATTTATTTATTTATTTAGAGTTGGCATCTCACTGTCGCCCAGACTGGAGTGCAGTGGTCGCTCCCGGCCACTGCAGCCTTGACCCGCTGGGCTCCGGCAATCCTTCCACCTCAGCCTTCTGAGTAGCCGGAATTACAGCCGCACGCTACCATGCCCGGCTAATTTTTTGATTTATTGTAGAGATGAGGTCTCGCCTGCC